GGATGCACGCTTGTTCTTTTTGTGTTCGTATATATACATTGTATATGTATCTATATCTATATCTATATACATATACATAGTCATATATATCTATATTTTTATATATCTCTATATATAAAGCCGTTGAGGAACTGCCGGTGAACGGTGGGCAGAAGAGAGGGAGAAAAGGACAACACCAACACAAGGCCTGTGGCAGACTGTTCCGTCGGAATTGCACCGACTCACCACCAGGAGTCTGAATCCTCCTCCCCTTCCTCCCCCACCTCCCCTCCCCCCTCTCCTCTCTACAGTCTGCAGACTTCCCTTAGCCTTTGGAGGCGATGGATGCATGCTACTGTGCACTGCCAAGTGGTAATCCGGTTCTAAGATAAACCCCGGTTGCAATTAACCATACTCAACGACTGACTGCTCGGCAACTGAGATCTGACGTGGGCAGCACCAACCAGCCAACCAGTATCCTCGAGGGATCCTCGAGGGAACCTGTGTGACGAAAATCAAAGCAGACTGTCACTCACTCGCACACATAGACGGAAAGACTGAACAGACTGGGGTGGTTCGCATAGCAAACCAGCATATATATATGAAACTCCGACGAAACAGTTTTTCACAGCCCCTCGTTTGTTGTCCTCTTCTCTCTCTCTGCCTACGGTTTACCGGGCAGTTCTGTTTGTGACGATATATATATATATATATATGACAGCCAGGAACCCCCCCCACGGAAGATAGAAACGGCTGTCACAGCCAGGAAATACACTAAAGTATATATCGTCATACATACTGCAATGTCTCTACTTGTGTGGGACGCTGAACCCCCTTCCAAGCAACTGCAGCTCCCCCCACCAAGAGAACGGAGCATTTCACACACACACACACACACACACACACACACACACACACACACACACACACACACACACACACACACACACGCACTTACACACTTACACACACACACACACGCACACACACGCACGCACACACACGCACACGTGTATATATACGTATATATAAAACGTATGGAGATAATAGAGACTGTAATATTGTTGAGCTATGTTATTTATTGCCGTTGTTCGGGGGGCAGGGGGCGGGGGCGTGGGGGGGGGGTGTAAGAGCTGGAGCAAAATGGTTCGGATGCGCTCAGGGCTTGACAATGTACTCGATGTATCTCCCAAAGAAGGGGAAAGAAAAAGGGGGTAAAAAAGAAAGGGAGAGGGGCGGGGGACGAACATCATGAAGAAATTCCATTGCCATGGCCATTGCCATTGCCATTGCCATTGCCATTCCATGTGGATCGGATCGTCCGCGAGTGGTTGGCTTCACAGGACAGCAAACGACTGTTTTTTCTCTGATGCCCCACGCAAACAACCCTAAGAAGACAGAAGACAGGGATCGAATCTCTCCTTCCCAACCACTCCAAGAACAGAAGAAGAGGACTTCCGAAAGAACAGGGAAAAAAAAAGGGACAGGTAAATTAGTCAATTAGCATTGTCCCTTGGGAATGCAAGGATGACACGCACGCACAAATCGATAGAAAGTCCAAGAAGAGAAAGGAAAAAGAAAAACAGAAAACGAAAAGAATAAGAAATCGAGAAGGCCGTCCGACTAGAGAATGAGAAAGGAGAAAGGAGAACAGGAAGAGCCAGTCATGAAATTGCGACCGTCCGTCCCATTCGGCTTCTTCCTCCCTGCTTCCTTCCGCTCGCTTTCATCATATCTTTTGTGCTGTTTTAGCGGAGAAGTATCGTCATTGTGCGCCAGAGAGGACATCGACCATCGAGAGGAACAACGAGCTCTGTTACTTTCATTCGTCACGATGCAGAATCGAACATCGACCCCGAGAGGATAAGAGGATAGAGAGACTCTCTCTCTCCCCCTCTCTCTCTCTCTCTCTCTCTCTCTCTCTCTCTCTCTCTCTCTCTCTCTCTCTCTCTCGCTCGCTCGCTCGCTCTCTCTCGCTCTCGCTCTCGCGTTATGCAGAACCCAACATGCACACCTTCGGGAAGATGAGAGGACACACCTTCGGGAAGATGAGAGGACAGAGACCTTCGGCGTTCGCTCATCCCATCTTATCGCATCTCATCATATCTCATCTTATGAGCAGTATACACGCTGGAAGGAAACGGTTTTTTTTGGAATGCGTGTGAAGAGCAATCTGGCCATTGCTTACCTTTCTTCTTCTCATCTTATGTTCTTATCTTTTTTTTTTCTTTTTTTTTTTTTCCTTATCTGTTTTCTTTGCTTTCTTCTTTCTTCTTTCTTCTTTCTTCTTTCTATCTTCTTTGATCTATCTGGGCGCACTCCTATTTGCAAAGAAACCCCTCGTAAACGACACCGGAACAAGCCCGCGCCGTCTCTCTTTCTCTCCCTCCATTCCTTCCCTCTCTCTCTCTCTCTCTCTCTCTCTCTCTCTCTCTCTCTCTCTCTCTCTCTCTCTCTCTCTCTCTCTCTCTCTCTCTCCCCTTCTCCGCCCCTCCACACAGACACACACATGATGAGTCGGTGAAAGTCCGACGAAACGTCTGGCACAGTCATGCCTTGTTTTTTGTGGCCTTGTCTATAGCTAAGAGGACAACACACACACACACACACACACACACACACACACACACACACACACACACACACACAGAGGATCAGTCAGTCATTCACCCCCCCCCCTCTTTACTGATTGCTTCGTACACACAACAGGGAGATGATCAAAACCCAGCAGGCGGAGTTACTCCCTCCCTTCTCCAAGACCCGTATCACCTCCCTCCTCCCCGCCCTCCCCCCAAGCTCCCGCCTTCTGTATTTAGCAATTTCCCTGCAGGCTGCAGAACACACCTCCGGCGCGGCCCTGCACGAAAAAGCGAAGGCCCACTCGTGCCACTCCACAGAAACAAGGAGCGGAAGCTGGCACTTCACGCCTGTCCCGCTCTCAGTTGACACACACAGAGAGATTAATCATTAATCAACCTGATCGCTGACTGAAACGCTTTGGCCTAATAAGCTGTGAACCCCTGGAACGCGCGCATATAGGCCGGGCGGGCAAGAATGTAGCCACACTACTGTGAAGAACGAGCATCAAGAGAAGAGCAAAACCCGTCTTCCCGCGAATAGAACGTCCTGTCATTTTTTTTTTTTATTATTTTTATTTTTTTTAATGTCCTGTCATTTTAGATATCTATCTGGGGCAACGTTCAGACTATATACAGGATGATGGCCGTACGTTCTATTCGGGGGAAGACGGGGTATGTGCCAGAAATGTCTCCCTAGGCTAGGAAACGACGTAATAAGGACACATTTCAGAACGAATAGAGACACATTTCAGCAAACTAGAGTAAGAATACCTTTCTCAGCCTTATGGCGGAGATCAAGTGTAGTATCTGTTGTCTGATCAGTTTAATATCGGATCCGTGTTTCATTGGACCACAATAAAAAAAATAAAAAAAAAGAAAAAGACGTAGAACGACGGTTGATATAGGGTCTCGCTCCACTACTCTCCACATGCACAAAAGACAAAACATAAGGCAATGTATGTTTCCATGTTATAGTAGAGGATTCCGTCTCGTTGTGCACTTTTGAAGTGCAGTAGCAGTTTGGGCAGCACGATGAGCAGCAAGAGCCAAGAGGTGGAGAAGGAATACGAGTAAGAAGGGGGGGGAGGGAGGAAGGGGGGGGGAARGGGGGGGGGGGGAATAATGAAAGAAAGAAAAAAGAATCCAATGGCATGATCTTGACAGGGGGCATGCTGATGGGTGTGCAACGTTGTGGTGTTATAACATTGGGGCCTTGAGGGAGGGGAGCACCATGAGAGACAGCCGCCACCAGCGAGGAGCACAGAGATGGGGACTGCAGACCGGCGTGGAGCATGCGACGACAAAAGTCTATATTTATTGATTGGATTGATGATGGACGTACTCGCGTGCTCTTTCGCCTGCTGTCACTGTGTCACATTCAGAAATCCTATCGATTGGCTCAACAAGCTCGCGCTGATGCGCGCATCCACGCCCAAACTGGCCTCTCTCTCTCTCTCTCTCTCTCTCTCTCTCTCTCTCTCTCTCTCTCTCTCTCTGTGTGTGTGTGTGTGTGTGTGTGTGGCTCTCTCTGTGTGTCTATCTATCTATTCCCCATCCTGAAGAAGACTACACGCACATATTGACAAGCAGAAGTGAAGAGACCTGCCGATATCAAGTACTGTTGTTTATCCCCTCTTTAGTCCTTTTAACTCGTTTCTTTTGCTCACAGCAGAGCCTACACAGGCACACTAATGCGGGGCTCGGTAGGAGGGCGCAGAAAACAATGATTCTTCCCGTACGTAGCAAATTGTGATGTTTCGACGTCGCCGAGGATCCCAATTGACATAAAGCAACACACACACACACACACAGACACACACACACACACACACACACACACACACACGGGGGGGGGGGCATTTCACAGTTTGGGACTAAGTATTTTTCCATGACCAGAACAGTCGTACATGTGCTCGCAGTGATTGGAAGATTCTCACTTCTGATCTTTGCGATTTGATCGGAAATAAACATCGCAAAGCGCGGAAACGACCCAAACCGCAAAAAAAAGAGAGACAGCAAAACGGAGGCGTGAAGGAGAGGAGAAAAGGAAAGCAGGGGAGGGATAACCTCTTTTTTCAGACCGCTGGGCCCCCCAGCGAATGCCAGCCAGCCAGCTTTCCTTGATACTAAGTAATGTAGGGGAATAAGTTCCCAATGAAACCCCACATCCTTCCTCCCCCGTCCCTATCCTCACCTCGCCCCCTTCAACTCCCAGCTTCCTCCCCGGTTCAGACTGTGTCGAATGTCACACTTTTTTCATTGTGAAGTTCATTTGCGCAAGTATCATCTTCCACATTCCATGAATGTAATCAGCCAGCAGAAAACGTTTTGTCAATTAGTCCGACTCCTAATACAAAGAGCAAAAGACGACAGGCGAGCAGCAAGGCTCGACAAACACACACAAGACGAGAGGCGGCGACCGCGTCTAGCCGATCAAATACTATTTTCTTCAGACATTTACTGTCATCATCAATCAACCAACCAATCAATCACTCAACCAATCAACCAATCAACCAATCAATCAACCAATCAAGAAGTTAGAGCCAATCATATCCTAGGCATTGCTTTGTCGACTTCGCAGGGACGCATCCCCGGCTAAGCACGAGTACCAGAGAGAGAGAGAGAGAGAGAGAGAGAGAGAGTTCTGAAAGCAGTAGGGAGGTCAGGGGTTGGGCGAGGGGAGGGGAGGGGAGGGGAGGGGGAGGGAGGCGAACGAGGTGATGCCATTGGGGCGTGAAAGATATTCACGGATCATGGAAGAAAAGAGCGGGGAGAAAAGGGCGCGGACAGAGGCGTAGGGATTGGCCCCGGATGCCTGGTGGTGGGTGTCAAGTATTAAGGGACGGTAGGTAGAGGTCGCAAATGTGCTGGAAGAGCTTCCTGCGAGCGCCCACCGCCGCCACTCCCATGTCCTTGAGATCCTCGATGGTAAGCAGAGGCAGTGTCTCGCAATCGACTTCGTGTATGCTGAATAAGCAGTTGTACTTGCTGAGCCCCAGCTGATCCAGCCAGTGATAAACCCCCCCAGCCAGTTCCACTCGTTTGATTGCATCGGCGCGCTTCGACCGCTTTCTCTCTGCCTCCGACACCAGGCTAGTGCAAGGTTCACCTGACTGATCCACCCCCCCCTCGACCGGCGCACGCCCCTGCACTTCGTCTTGGCACGTCGCAGTCTGTCGAATGCTCACCACTCCCGTCTCCGCACCCGTGACAACCTGCTCACTGCCGGTCGCCGTGGCGGCGGGGGCGGCGGCGGCGGCGGCGGCGGCGGCTTCGGCTTCCGCGACGCCCGTGGCCAGCGCCGCGTCCGCAGCTCCCTCCACTGCCGCCGCCGCCGCCGTGAGAGGTGTGCCAGCCGCAGCCGGTACACCACCAATCGTCATCTTCCCCGTCGGATCTGCTGCCGCTGCTGGTGCTTCTGCGGCTGTGGCTGCAGCAGGTTCTGCACCTGCGCAGGCCGTTTCCTCCCTTAGCCTGCTGCTGCGCGATCGACCCCGTGATCGAGTCCGCGATACCCCACGTGGCAACGCCTCCGCGTCTGTCGTATCCCCTCCACGCTTCGCACAGGCGGTTGCTCCGGTCGCCAGATCAATCAACACCTTCGCCAGTACCGCGCGCTCGTTCATTTCATGCGATGGAGTTCCTGGTTGCCGCAGCTTCACCGCCAACAAACGTCGTTGATGGCGACGCGAATGAGATTTTCTCAGAGACGACAATCTGGGATTCGTCGTGATAGGAAGAGGAGGAGGAGGAGGAGGATGGGGAAGAGGATCACGGCCTGTACCGATCTCCTTCTCAGGGTTGACGTCGCCTACCGCTCCATTGCAACCCTCGTCGTAATCCACGTGTAAGTGACGTGGATGGGACCCACAATCCATTTCACAGCCAACTGCCAACCCACGTGGATGCATATCGCCGCCAACTGCCATTTGATCAGAACAGCAGCCGTCGCGGACCGCCGCTGTAGTAGCAGCCTTTCGAGCAGCAGCGGCGGTCCGCGACCGCTGCTGCTGGACTGGCTCAACGGCAGGGGTGGTTCCTCCTCCTGCACCATCCTCGTTCACCCTCATCTCATCGGTATCTGCGGGCAATGCCCCTCCTTCATCGGCCAAGCGCCCAACTGTCGCTGGGCCATTGACACGTGGCGCTCTCGAGCGTGTGCCCTTCCCCTGCCCCCTCCTCCTCTTATTCACGGCCACCCGCTTCTCCCCCACCACTCCTCCTTTCGAGTTCCTCTTGGGTTTTTCCTCCTCGCCTCCGCCATTCTTCTTCTTGACCGATTGCTGCTGCCTCGTGTGCTCGTCGTTAACACATGAATGATCCCCCCGCCGGTAAGGGTGATCATCATTCCCATGGTGTTGATGACGATCATGGTGATCACCCCGCCGCTTCTGTGCCGTTGATTCTCCTTCTGCCTTCAGATCCGCCGCTGCAGCCATTGATGGGAGATCCACGGCGGCGTCGGCTGCGATAGCCGCTGCAGCATGCCGTGGCCTCTGACGTTTGGAAGGGTGAAGCTGCCTTGGCGGCTTTCCAACCGCCTCCTCCTCCTCCTCCTTAGCAGCAGGCGCAGCCGCAGCAGCTGCTGCAGCCGTAGCCGTTCGATTCCTCCTCCTCCCGCCAACGTTCTCGCTGAACCAACCTCCTTTCTGGCAGCCATCCTCCGCCCGCTCGTTATCGGCGTGAGCATCAGATGAGCGCCCTGGTTCCACCACCTCATTACAGGTAGCAGCACCGGATTTAACCCCGCGGTTGACGGACAAGAGAGTGTAGGAGTTCCGGTCAGAGACCTTCCTCTTGCGATCGAGTCGTCGTGGCAAAGGACCTCCTTCGACACTGTGGGCACCCCGGGCCGCCGCCGCCGCAGCAGCAGCAGCAGCAGCGGCGCCAGCAACAGCTGGGGGAGGGGGAGGATGAGGGACGTTGTGGCGCGGCGGAGCGGACGACGAAGCAGCTCGATAGGTAGAGAGGCACTGACGAGTCCGATGGTCCTTCCCTCTGGATCTCGATCCCGCTCTGGGCGGCCCGATTGAGTGACCGTTGGCGGACACGTCCGCAGGCACCCGGCCGAGTCCGACATCATCGGCGGCAACCTGAGCGCGCTCCTTCGCCGACTCCTCCTCCTGCTGCTGCATGTTACTGGTCGACGTGTTCATCGCAGTGTCCATCGCAGTGGCACCCCCCCCCACCCTGCCCCCCAGCGAATGCACAACCCGCTCCCCTGGGCCCCCCCCCGATAACGAGGAGCCATCAGATGCACGGCCCGGATTGCGGAAAACGACTCTGAGTCTTGTGGGGAAGACAGGCGGCGTCCACTGATGACCCAAGTTCGTTGTATTGATATTGACTTGCCCTCCGACACCGGGGTCCATTGCCATTGTGGGCGTCATAATCGTCTCTGTTTCCGTCTCAGTCGTCGTCGTCGTCGTCGTCGTCAGCGGCGAACTGGGAAAACGCAGAGACGGCCGAGAGGAAGGAACGGTTGGTGGAGGAGGAGGAGGAGGAGGAAGAGTACGGGAAGGAGCAGCAGCAGGAGGAGGAGGAGGAGGAGGGTAGGAAAGGGAGGGAAGACGAGGAGCAGCGGGGGGGGCAGAAGACGCTGCTGCTGCCGTGGTGGCGAGAAGTCTTTCTGAGAGGATTGCACCACATCCTGTTTTTCGTGAACCCGCCTTGACCATGTCCTTCTTTTGTCGTTTGCGAAGAGGGCGTGAAGGGATGCTGGTTTCAGGTTCAATCAGTACCGGGATCTTGCTTCCTGTCGCATGGTCATTGCTCCTGTCTCCTCCTATTCCTCCTCTTGCCTCCTCTCCCTCCCCCTCAGCGCCACCCAGCTCCACCATCCCACGTGTCGCAGTCGTCTTGGGTCCCATCAAGGGTGTCAGCTTTCGCGGACGCTTCTTCTTCGCGCTGCGGCCGCCCCCTCGTCGTTCGCTGGGATGCACACCGCCGCGCTCGCCAGACACTCTCATCACGTTCATCATGCAGTCTTGTGCCCCGGTTGTCGTCGCCGGTGATCTTGACGGCCGAGGCTCTCCTTTGCTGTTCTGGACTACATCTTCAACATTCTTGGGGAAAGGAAAGGACGATGGGCGGTAGCTACCAGGCTCCCCCCTCCTCAACTCCCCCCCTTCTCTGACACTCACAGCGTTCCTCTCTGTCCGAGCTGCTGCTCCTGCTACGTCCTGTCCTCGTCCTCCGCTAGCTCCCGCCTTGGGCGCGGGGGGGAATTTCGCACTCCCCTCAGCGGCGGCATGACGGCGGGTAAGATGATGACGAGACGTGGTGGCGGGAGATCCTACTTCCACTGCCGTTGCCTCAACGGCCCGTCCTGCCTGTTGCCCTCTCCCTTCCTCCTCCTCTTCCGCCGTCCTGCGCGCGATCGACATAACCGCTCGCGGAACGTCGGGCAAGAGGTCACTCCGACGGGGCAAGGAAGAAAATGGAGTGCACACAGGATGTCGGTCCACGTCACCCAAAGACGTCAACCGTATTTCCTCCAGGCAGTCCGACGTGGAGGCATTGCTCTCATCGCCATGCCTTGGCAGAGCCTGCTCCTCCTCCTCCTCCTCCTCGCAGGAACGGGGCAGGCTTGCGAAGGAGACGCCGGGATCCGGACGGTCATCGACGACCACCTCGGCAGCACCATCGTCGCCCTTGGCCGTCCTTGCCACCATGCGATTGCACATGCTGACGTCAGCACGAGCCCTTGTCATCGACACTTCCGCGACCGAGATCCCGGCAGCACGATCGGGACCATCACCATCTGCTGCTGCCCCTGCTGCATCTCCAACTGGCAATACTCCCCTGCAGCGACGACGTGGACGGCGCAGCCCTGCTGCTTTCGCAGCGTCACCAGCACCGGAATGAAGTGGAGCCGCGTGGCGGTCAGGAACCTCGGACATACGGGCTGCTGCACCAGGGGTGAACACACTGTCAGCAGGAGGAGGTGGAGGAGGTGGAGGAGGAAGAGGAGGCGGAGGAGAGCGAGAAAATATCATGGTCGGCGAGGGGGGGTGGGTAGGCTGCTGCTGCTGCTGCTGCTGCTGCTGTGCTGACGGTAGGAAGTCGGGACCGGTACCAGTACCAGCACCACCGGCAGCAACAGAAGAACGAGGAGAATCAGGATGAGAGCGAGGAGAAGACGAAAGAGGAGGTGCTCTCGCACGTTCCAAAGGTTTCTCTCTCGGCTCAGCCGCCGATGACGTGGCTCCAACCATGGATTCAGAACAGCGCCGGCCGCTTGCTTCCCTTTCCCCTCCGCGAGTGCCACTATACGTATAGGGAGAGCGCTTGACAACGTACCCCAGCTCACCCGCAACGACACCACCGTCGAGACGGATCGAGCATCGTCGCCAGTCGGTATCGCTATCCTGCAGCTTTTGCCGGGGACCATTGTGGACGCCTGCCGCCGGATGCGCCAGCCAAGAGTTTTCTTCATCCACGTCGACATCCTCATCGTCATCGTCATAATCGTCGTCGCTCGTTAAAGCACAAGAACCCTCTTGTCGGAACCCGATCTCGGTTCCGCATACTTCCGACGCAAGTTCATCTTGTTGCTGTCTCTTATCTTGGTCCATCCTTACTCGTCGGTCATCGGTATCGCCTCCCCCGCGCTCGATGAGACCGAACTGTCGTGTTGCTGATGATGCCATCGCTCCGCCATTACCAACGGAATAGTGACGATATCTGCTAAACCCCCCCTCCATACTCTCACATTCCACCTTCTCTTCCTCCTCCTCGTCTTCCTCCTCCACTTCCTCCTCCTCCTCCTCCTCCTCCTCTTGCTGATCCTGCTCGTCGTTCTCATTTCCATTGTCTTCTCCGTGCTGGTGCTGCTGCTCCTGCTGCTGATGATAATGATGATGATGACGATGATGGTGATGACGATGCTGATGCTCTTCCTGCCTGCCACCTGGCACTTGAAGCCTTCCAACTCCTCCTTCCCAAATATTCTCAGCCTCAGAGAGCACACCATTGTCAATTCCACGATAATCCTCCCCCTCCGCCTCTCTCCTCTCCTCCTGCTCTTCATCATCATCATCATCATCCTCATCATCATCATCATCGTTCTCTTCTGCTTCATCCTCATCGGGCTCACCTTCAGCGGCATTATCAGCTTTCGACGCGGCTACCATCGTCGCTTCAGTGCCATCTCCAAATACTAGAGGGGCTGCTGCAGCAGTACCAGAGGAATGAGCAGCAACAGCACTCAAGCGAGTGCCGTTGATTTCATCGATATCGTAAGGAAGGTCGTCTTCATTGGGCTCCCTGTGGAACATCTTGTCGTCCTCGCTCTCGATCTCACGGTTGCTCAGAGATTCGGCCACGTCATCACCGGAATACTCATCGAAAGTTCCTTCCCCCCATTCTTCTTTTTGCAGGTCTGTCGAGGGGACATTCACACGTTTGCCTATGGGGACAATGTGCGCGAAATCAGCACTCCTCTGCATGCCGGATGCCGCAGCGCCACTGAAAGGGGAAGCGCTCAGCCCCGGAGAAGGAGACCCAAAGGAGGGAGGAGAGCGCGAGAGTGGCGACGTGTGCGACGTGTGCGACCCGCCAGGCATTTTCATTACCGGCACTGCTAATCAACGTTTTCTCACCTATATCTATATTCCGCGTTTATTCCTGCGCCTCGACTTCTTTCCCTCCTTCCTCTGCCCGCCCTTGTTTTCACTTTTCTTCTTCTTCTCCTCCTGTTTTCACAAATCTTCCCTTCTTCTTCTTCTTCTTCTTCTTTGTCCCTTTGTCCTTCTTATGCTGATACCCAAATAAATCGCTTGTCAAGGGAGTTGACTCACTTCCAAAACCCCAGTCGACATGTACCCGCAAAATCTCTCTCTCTCTCTCTCTCTCTCTCTCTCTCTCTCTCTCTCTCTCTCTCTCTCTCTCTCTCTCTCTCTCTCTCTCTCTC